AGATCTCGTGATCCAGCGAGTGGCGGTGACCTGTACAATCATGTATGTGGCGAAAGGGTAGCTACACATCCACGGTGCGCATCAAGGCTCATGCGCTTCTGTCAAGTTAAACTATCTTTGATTTGGGTTGTGTCTATTACAGTTGTGATCCCGGACAGTAGTAGCCAGCGCGCAAGATTGGTCCCACACATGCGTTTGTAATATTCAAAGGTCACTTGTGCTTCGTCGCCTTGTGGTGGCCCGTGAAGCATGACTCGAGAGGAGCAAGCGGGATTCCGGCCTGCTAGCGGTTGCGCTCCCCAAATTTTCACACTCCATCTTGTTCTAGAACAACGTCACGGGTACAAACGACTAACAATATCACTGTTCTGTCTGCTCTCCTTAATATACTCGCCTATCGAGGAATGTCCCGGAAGTTTGTGAACATATTTCGTCCTTTGATTTCTCAAACATTCCGGACGCATTGGAGTATGCGGAGAACTCTGCAAAAGCTTACTTAAACAAAGCGCCGTCCGTCAGGGGGTGTCTGCTATCCCCATTCTTATTTAAATTTGTGATTGGTGAGAATGAGACGAATACTGGAAGGTCTTCAAACCCCGGTGTTCAAGTAGCCTCTGACGAAAACCTTGTCGACCTAGAATATGTACTCGATACCATTCTCGTCTTCGAAGATGAGGAAAGGGCACGGGGGTTTTTGGATGAACTCACCAAAATCATCCCGCTCTTTGGTGTGCATTTCGCACTCATAAAGCGTAAGGTCATTCTACTGGACATGCAGTCACCGAACACGCGCCTAACAATCCAGGGAAGTTTTATTAGTTCTGATTGTAGTGTGACAGATGAGCTCAAAGCATGAATCTGCAAGACTCAGGTCGTTTTTTCTGATTCGAGACATCAACATCATCGACAGCATGACATCAGTGTTCAACACTGATGCTTCACTGCCGTACAACCATGATTTATTTGAAAGCCTTATTGTAAAGAAAAGAGTAAAGGTGGACGGTGCTAGCTTACCACAATCATTCCGAGGTGCCTACACCTCCAGACATTCACTCAGGCAATCTGGATAGAAACTGACAGCAAGAACGCCACTGACATCGGTTGGCAGCCATATCCTGTAGTGTCTCCAACCAGGCACAATGAGGATCACGCGGTCCCCACCCTGGAAGGGATTGGCGACACGTATGATGTCAAGCCCATATGTCCCTGAATCTCAAGGGACGTGTGTATTGGGCTGTTTTGTTGTATGGCTGTGAGAAATGCATCCTTAGTCAGCAGAACCGAGACATCTTCAGGTGTTCGGTTGCGCAATAGAAACTTGGATCAGAGAGGGTGTCCGGCTCCGGAAGCTACGTTTGTTAGGTCATTTATTACGCATGCCGAACCATCGTTTGCCGAAGGGAGTACTATTTTCCGTGCCCTATTCAGAGTGGCAGAAGCAAAGAGGTTGCCAACCCTGACCCGGCGGAGAGGCATGATAGGAACTATGAAAAGTTTGCGTGTCGCCGATGTGACTCGGCTTCCAGGGTGGAAATCAGGTGATCCACATTGCGCGTGGATGTAGACACTCCAGTATATGGCTGCTAATCTATGTTAATGGTGCTCTTGTTACTGGTTTCTATCGCGATTGCCTGAATGTGTGTCTGTAGGTGTAGGCACCTCAAAATGATTGTGGTAGGCTGGGGCTAATTCCCATTCTCATCCAATTTTATTCTTTCCTTCAAAATAAGGCTTCCAAATAAATCACTGTTGCACGGCAGCGAAACATCATTGTCGATGGTGACGATGATGTATCACTCAAAACGTTTGCCGACCTTGTTCCCGTCACGATCTAGGGCTTTGCAGTGTCTTGACAACTGAAGCGTTCTAATGGAAGACGCCGATAGTACCGCTGGGTGCAAAACCTGTTTTCTAGTCAACATTCCTAGATTATTTCAATGAGATATCCTTGCCACCCACCTCGGTCGCAAAGCGTCTTGCTCATTTGAAGAACCAGTGGTTGTTTGCCATTAGACATCCGAATGGTCCACGAACTATTCGCCCCCGACAATCAAGTACGGTTTCTTCGTAATCGGATTGAAGTGAGTTAACGTGACCTTGATCTGTCCAGGTGTGATCACGGGGAGGGGGCTATCTTCAAACGGTTAACTGACAGGCGCGTTAATACCCTACTCTTGCCAGTGCCTTATACCTAGTCAACTATCCATCCGCATTTTTGTGGCTTGCTGAAAGTTGACTTTATCGTCATCAAGCGCTGTATTGAAACGTTGAACCCCCATGTAGTATGTCCCTACTTTTGTGGAAAAGTCGATAGATGGACCTGTTTGATCCCACTCGATACGGTCACACGATTTCTATCACCTTGAAGTATGAAAGTGTTTTCTCAAGCGTCCCATTGAGCAGAACTGGCACGCTATTGTACACACGAATATCTGCTTGGATTAACTTCATAACCTCGCGGTTACCTCGTCACTTGGAACAGGACTGAAGATGCTAACGATACGAACCAGTTTGGCCTGTGCATGATAGCGTTTCTGCAAACATTTTTTGACAATCGGGCTGAACTTATCTATCCAAAACGGACCATGACGAGGCATGATCAGTTGAGCTGAGCGCTGCTCACATTGTCAAACTTGTTTTATATGCCAATGAGGACCACTCCACAAGACCATCGCCGTTTCGTCAAAGGGCTCAAGTGGTGCGTCACGATAAACAAGAATAGAGCTATTGAAAAGTTGCTTATGGATACATGGTAGACAACTGTTCAGTGGAGCTCACCAACTTATGGTGCTTCCGACGTGAAGGGGAGTGGTACCTATCTGGCCAAACTCAATATTTGTGGTGAAATATTGACGATGTACTCAATTATTGGTAGTGACCGTTTTTATACTGGATGTGCAACCTCAGTGGTGGTAAGGTGTGGTTTTTTCACAGGCCTTTTTTACTCTGGTTTTGTTTTGGGCCTGACCTAACTAAGCAACACCTCAAAGGCGTTGCTTAGGAAGAGGGAGTACTCTTTTGAGCAGTCTGATTGGTACTATTCGCTCAGGATTCATTTTCCAAAGTCTCTTGTAATTCAGTGCACCTCAAACGCCGTATGCCGGGTTGGGGAACTGTGCACAGTACCGGCGGACTGCACAAATGGCACATATTGATCTGCCTGATTTCTGGAGGCCCGCCAATGTCGAGACGTCCTGAAGGGAAAGATGACAAGGGTAGCACCAGAATTCTACCACCTAACGCACTCAATTCGGTCACTGGGGCTTACAGTAGAGCGTACCTCATTCCGAAACAATCAACAATCCAATCAACCAAAGGCGATACGCTTACCCCTGTGTGTTGATGGAATTTCTCTCTTAGTCGTGCCAACCAACTTTGAACGCGTTCGTGAGCACACGAGGCATTGGAACAGGAACGTAGAAAGAATGCTGCGGCAAGATCAGCTAGGCTAGGTTCTTGGGTGCGAGCCAGATACAGGCCGTCGATCTCGAAACACTGTTTAAGGCACGACTGAAACAGAGTCTCAAAGTTGACTTGATCGTGGACGCTGCGTATCTCGCCAAGTCGAAGTACCCAAGAAAGCCACTGTTTCACCAGGGCCCGACATTCTAGCTGAAAGAAAAGAACCGAAGATGAACGAGTCACGAGTGTGATTTTGTTTGGATGCCATCTTTACTAACTACTCCTTGATTTGGAAAAAAGAGAAAGACGTGGTAAAGGAAAACCGTATGTCGTTTCACGGAGGCTTGGCAGACAATCAGGTTTCTGTATGTACATTTTCAACTTGTTTTTGTCCATGCGTCAAAGTTCCTCGGATATCTGACTACTATTGAGTAGTCAACTGTTTCAACACTTCGGGATGTCTACGGAGCACCCGACAGCAAACGAGCTTGGAGTTAGTGTAAACGATAAGTGTAGTACTTACTTAGCTCTATCGACTATCTTGTGAATGCTCTACAAGTTGCTCGTCAAAATGAATTGAGTGCAACTAGTCGCACGTGCTGAACGGCGTCATCCCAGCGTTTGTCCGATGAGTACAGCTCAGTCGCCACCATTGGGCATCTGTAAGCTAGCCAAGTGATGTAAGATCACATTCATCCGGGATTTTCAGGAACAGCGGAGCTCATTTCTGGATGAAACCCACTGTCCATCGTTGCTGGGTTAGCGAGACTTGGATGTCCTCTTCGCTCATTTCTTGTTGCTAAATGGAGCCTAAAGTTTGGCCAGTTGGACATCAAGGTTAATTGGTCCAATCAGACGATGCTGATCAAATTTACCGATGGACTTTCCACAATAAACCTTAGTTAAATAGGTCGATTCGTGGGAGGGTCTTCCTCGGGGGGAATTAAACAACAGAAGAATGGGAGCCGCAGGAAATCGTTTACACATGCGACAATCTACGTCCGAAGGGTGAGTGATAGCTACTCAGGTGACAGAAGATAATGGCCAGTACACAGATCTAAAGTGAGCAATTTCCTTCAGGTAACTCAGTTATTAAGGCGCGGACGTGCTGATCGGTAGGTCCGTGGTCGGAACCTAACCTTCGCTCCTCGACTGATTCTAGGACTTGGGCAACCTCACGGTATCCCAGTCCTCGTGCTTCCTTCGGGTAGCATGGTAGCTGGGAAGTGGGAGGGTGTCACAACTGAACGATTATTTTATTATTCATTTCCTTCAGACTCTGTCCATCCACCAGTAAACTGAAAACACAGTCACTGATTTGTCACTTAGCTGAATGATAAACATGCTCAGACTGTTGTGATGTGGCAGTTGTCAACTAAACAAAGATGTTTTGATGGCGCATCACTATACATCATCGGATGTGATGACTGACAAAGCATTTGAGTGAGCAGACTGCTAGGTGAACCGGTAAATAGGCTTACATTCGATCGATATCACGTCAAAGCTAGTTAAGAATTCGCAGTCTCGGCAGGAACGCTTGAATCAAACGCAAAAATTGAGCTATTAGCGAATTACAATCAATAAAACCGGAGATATTGACCCCATACTAATGTGCTTTTGGGTGCAGACCGAATGTTGAGGAGCTCTCCTGCACAAGTAGGGGAGACAGAGATTTGATAATTCCACATGTGTGCTTGGATTCTCATTCAGGGAGTTCCGCTGGTACATCCATCCAATGGGGGCGTAATCGCGCAGCGAAATAGAGAGTTGCTGCGAGTTGTGCGGCTGTTGACTGTGACTGAGCTTTGGAATTGATTTCCATCAGTGATTTTCGTCATCGCTCCAGAGCTATCACCAGGTTGCGGTTGGTTGGTTTACTGATATCTCCGACGTGATACGCCTGATCATATCCCCTAGAAATCATTTGAATACAGATAGCAAAAGTGCCCACCTGATCGGGCAGTGACGATGTATCCTCGAACGGTAACAGAACGCTTGCAAACCAATTGCCAAGGTCAACAAACGAACCGGTGATAAGTAAACCACCCAGCTACTAATATATATATATATATATATATATATATATATATTCGAGAACAACCTACCCGTTTTCCACCAAGAAGTTCCTCAGTCGCGTACTGTTCGATCGAGGACTGGATATCAGTAATTTCATGAGAAATCTCTCTGTGAGGGGATAGGGAAACCACTGCGCGCAACAACGGATGCTGGACTTGTAAGTGCGGCGTGGAAACGTGACCCGACGTGCTCTCTGACTCGGCCATTGTGTCGAGGCTGGAGAGCATATCCTCCAAGTGTTGCTGTTCAACTTCCAGTTCATGGAGCTGGAACGAGAAACGAGAACAATAGGGTGAACAGGCAATAGATCTTAAGAGTCGGGTATTTTAAACCGCAGACACTTTGGAATCAAAACTGTCCCCAAAACCCAATGTAACGATCACAAAACCCAATGTAACGATCAACGAGGAATGATTCTCTGTACCCGATAAACCACTTATTCTTGTGAAGTGAATCAATGAGCTATCCCTCATGTTTTGTTCAACGTATCAGTACTTTGACAGGTAGTGGCTACTACCTTGATTTTTCAGTGGGTACTTCGGGAAACGAAACCGTACCGGCCAATGGCGAAGAGCGAGTCGCACCCCAGACGAGCCTCATCGATTTTATTAAAAACGTCGCGTCGTACACATTTCTGATCATATGTAGACTTTTTCGCGGTGTTTCAGAAAGGAGTATGAGAAAACTGGATTAATTAGGTTCGAAGAGTGCGGTGAACACCGGAAAGTTGGAAGAAACATATCTGATGGGAACAGTCTAAACACCATTCACAGCCCTCATTCAGGAGGAAGCAAGGAAAGGCATATCTGCTATTTTGCAAGCCGTAGACTGGTTCACTCCTTATTCAACTTTATCGTTACTGTTTTCCTAGTAAGGAATTCATGTTAGATTCTTAACTTGCAACCATCCCTTTTCTATCAGTTTACTCACCGCCCTGCTTGCCTCGCCATTGTAGCTTTCGGGACATTTCGAATTTCAGCTTTCCCCATCTCCTTGGACTGTCCCGGTACAGTCCTATCAGTGCAAGCACAAAACTGATTGCGGAACCACTATGTGACAGCTATTTGGGAAGGTTTGGTGTTGCTTCAAACGATCCCTAATTTAAAGCCATATTAAATGAAACAACTGCGGGCGGTAAAGACCAGAACAAACGATATTTCAACAAAACTAACGAACAAATTAAAACAGTTCGTGGATTAGATTAGAGGGAGGTTATTCGTCAGCCACTGGGAATGTTAAACGGATCAGACGATAGAAAAGTTCAGTACTTGGGTACGACCATACGCGGACAGCATGCTGAAAGGCTAGGATCAATAGTCCCCACTGACAGTTTCAACTTTCCTGACACACTGGCACCTTCTCCAGAGGCACCTACTCTATCAAAATGACTTTTTTCTGTGCATGGTTTTGTAGTATTTTCTTAAGAATAAAATGCCATAGGCAACGTTTATTTGGCTCGCTCTCAACTTACCCGTCGTTCGTCCACATTTCGTTTCGAAAGCGGGACCTTAGTTTGGTATTCCGGGCGAGCACGCTCCGCATTCAATGCGCGTAGTGACTGAGCTACCTGATTTAGTCGAGTTTGTGTCCGTTGCTGCTCCTGAGCGATGTTTATGTGACCGGCCAAATGAAGATACAGTTGACAGGTAGCAGGGACACGAGACGTACCGTTGCTAACTGATGGCTCTGCAATTTGGGCTTGCCCAGCCATATCTTCATCACTGTCGTCTACAGCCTGTTCATCATCCTGCATATTAGATTCTGGAATGTCGGCGGCAAACAGAGCATCGCGAGCCGAAACTGTGGCACCAATACATCCAGAAGTGACAACTAGAAAAGATGTAATTCAGAGATTGAGAACTGACATGGTATGAGAATTTCATTTGAATGCGACGAGCAGACCAAGAGAAATTGAGGAGATGTTACACAGTAGAAAGGATCTTGTGGTTAGGAGAGATAGGATCAATGTGCACAGGTGATTTTCAAGGTTCAGCCTGAAACAAAATTTCCCGGTTTGAAAGAGAATGGACCTTGCCAATTGTGTGCCTCTGCGGCCCATTGAGCTACACGGGGGTGTGTTCGCGCGGCATCCGGGCTACTTAGTGGAAAGAGGCCAGACTAACAATTACCAGAGTTAGAAATGGAACAAATGTTGGTGACCGTTGCTTTGTGGTCAGGCTTCTGAACTGAAGGATTTGTTAGAGAGCTCTAGCCGTCATCCTGGCGCCCTGACAGTATCGTAGCCTACATACAAAGCCAATAATTCGCTGGCCGTTGCAAGATACCGTCAGACAGGTCATGTGCATGCAGCAAAAAAAAGCTGCTGCCGGCAATTTCCACTCCTCTAATACTGTTTCATAAATCCTCTCCCTGTCTCTTTTTAGAATGACTCGTTTGTTGATCCCAGGTACTGGAAGGAAGTAAATGATGGCACACCACTGTTCACATTACCCGGTCCCTCTTGATATTGCAACCTCCAGTGTGCAAAATCCTAAACGAGCCGGTTAAACAGTTGCTCTTGGTGCGTGACTGGTAAACTTCTGCTGCGTTTTCGGAACCCAAACACAAAAGTCAAGGACGATGGTTGGAGCTGTGGCAGTTGTTTTGCCTACACACTACCTCAGGTGACCACGGAGCTGTTGCAGCGGGCTTAACCCGCGATGTCACAACTCTCAGCTTCTAACCACGGGCTTTTTTACTTGACTGGGTCGGTCGAAGTGGTCCCGAGCGCACAGATGCGGTAGCGTTGGGAGAAGTCAGTCGTCACTGGGACGAGACAAGCGTCACCATACATACATCAAAAAGCTCGGTATGTAGTGTTTTCCAGGCAAGCACTTAAGTTCAGAACATTCGCTGTCACTCCTCGATGAAAGACGTTCCAATTCGTCGGAAGCCGAGTGTGATTCAACCTGCTTACTGGACTGGTGTTATGCCGACCAGGCTACCAAGGACGCTTGCCCGTATATACACCTAAAATGTGCTGAGTACAGTCTATAGCGGAATGAGAACCGGAGGAACGTCTTTCCTGATGCGACAATTTCCCTGTGAAGGAAAAGCGAAGTGGTAACGATTCAGCTGACAGGATACAGTGACCTCTATACAGGTCTGATGCGAATGCACCGTCGAATCCCTCTTAGGAAGATGCAAGGGCATCTTTGGCTCTTGCCAAAGAAACAGATTCCATCGAACTCTCAATCTACTTGTCATTCACAAATTACCCTATTTAAATCCAGCAAGTAGTTCCTTGTGGTGGTGGCGTTATACACGTATTGTGATATAAAAAAGCACAGTCGCTCGTTTATCACCTAGCTGAATGGTCGCCATGCTAGGATTTTCATGATTTGGTGACTGTGTGAATGTCTTGATGGTGTGATGTGGCGAATGACAAAACATTTGAGTGAGCACACTGTAAGGTGAACCGATCGATGGACTTACATACGATCGACATCATCCAAATACTTCAAGTATAAGGAGCTATTTAGGGATTCAATCAATCACAAAGATGCAAACATTAGCGAATTAAGATTTTAAAAAAGTCAGAGGCATTCAATCCACGGAAATTGTGTTTTTAAGTGTTGAGGTAGGCGTACTTCCAGCACGTAGCTGCGTTGGTTAGGCCATGTATTGCTCATGCCAAATCATCGTTTGCCTGAGAGACTGCTGTTTTCCGCGTCTAATGCGAAGTGCCGAAGCAGAGAGGTGGCCAGCCTTTCACCTGGCAGAGAGATATGAAACAAATTACGCAAAGTCTGGGTGCTGTCGGAGCGACTCGCCTTGGAGGGTAGGGACCGCTTGATCCCCAAACTTCCTAGGTGGAGACACGATGGCGTTTTTGCTGTCAGTTTTATCCAGATTGCCTGAACGAGTGTCTAGGAGGTGTAGACACATGGTAGGTTACACGATTCCTAGAGGATATGAAACACAAACGACACCGACGGTATGTTTGTTGTCAGTTCTTAGCCAGGATGTCTACCTAGCGCTTGTCTACCGTTGTGCTGAGCTTGATGAGGCTCTCAAAGGATGCCGAGTTAAGTCCCTCTAAGATGTCTTACTGTTGTTCAGTGTGCTTATTTGAGTGCTTTGGAAGGTGTGGGCAACTTGATTTGGATCGTCTCCCCATGGGTACATGAAGCCCTCTGCTTCATACCTCGATAGAACATCCCCGCACGACTCCGTAACAGTGAATACCACGAGAAAGACCGGTCTCGTTGAAATACCAAAAAAATGAAGGAAAACGGAGTGTCCCAATGGTATGTGGAGCGAGTTGGCGTCCGTCCCCTACTGCGTATAGTTATAGGCGTTGAAAAAAACCACGAGGTTCAACGATCACCTCCTTTGTGGACAGAGTTATCAAAACTCCGTAACAGTGAATACCACGAGAAAGACCGGTCTCGTTGGAATACCAAAGAAAATGAAGAAAAACGGAGTGTCCTAATGGTATGTGGAGCGAGTTGGCGTCCGTTTGCTTCTGCGTATAGAGGCGTTGAATGATAATGCAGCGTTTTCGGGAAAAAAATCAAGAGGTTCAACGATCACCTCCTTTATAGCCTGAGGTATCTATCTACCAGATAAACTCACTTTCCTGGCGTTCAGAAGTCACCCGCACTAGACGACATTTGCCAAGCGGCTCCACAACGTCTGTCAAATAGGCGCCGCTCTGCAAAGTGGTCAACACACCGGGAGGAGCCAAAATTTGAGCTTCCAAAGCACCAGAGCTCTTTGTTTGTGGGAGTACGTGATAGGCCGCCCGAAGCGCACGCAGACGATGCACAATGTTGGTGACAAGACAGAAGTCGGTTTCCACGCCATCTTCATCGCGCAATTCGCAGACCTGAGGGATAGAAAACGAGGGGGAGTGGTGGTACGGAAATGGGAAAAAACTATTCGTATCACACATTCTATTCATTGTGTAGAGCTGGCAAAAGGCACACATTCCTCCTGGAACCGGAAGACCAAGTGTCGACTGTTGTTGGTCTTGCCAGTACATGTTCGACAGGACGGACCCAAACATGTTGTCACAAGCTCCACACTCCGTATTGGTGGTTAGCAACTAAGCTTAATGTAACGAACTCCAGGGTCCGTATTGGTGGTTAGCTTGACGGGTTAGGCAGCTAAGCTTACATGAGACCATCCTCTTTCGACTTAGTGAATCAACGCACCACATAATTGTACAAAACTCTGAGCAACCCGATATTGTGAACTTCCCGAAAGACACATCATAAGTTAAATCACGCGTGTTTGAACATTCCTGCGCAAAAATGGCACTGGACCCCAGCTCGGTTTTCATTAGAGCTCAGCAGAAGGGAAGATCCCCGAAGGTGCAGTGCTTTTAACTGCTACCGCTGCACCCGCTCGGGCTAGATGCACCTGATTTATTGTATCTGAAATGACGAGTGTGTCCCTGTTGAGCACTATGCTTGCCTTGCCCGACAACAACTGTTCTGATTGCGCCAGCCGAGTGGTCCACCTTTGGGTCATGAATGCTGGAAACCTGTGTCCGGAGTATGCTCATCTCGCACGCCCGATATCCACCGTTCAAGGCTAATGATATACGCTGTTAATCAACTTCAACAAGAGCAAAACACAAGTCCAGTGCTTCACCGCTATGGCGCGGAAAAACCAGAAAGGATAGAACTGCTCAAATCTAAAAATCTCGCAACTACTGAAGACACTGACACACTAAAGTATACTTGTACATCTAACTGTATTTCGTACAACCTAATTTGGTTAGGGGATAGTTGTCCAGATGCCATGAGTCCCATGACGTTTCCGTGCAAGTTGAACCAAACAAAACGTCCTGGATATTTTGGAGTCTGTCATCACGAACATGTGTACTGTGACACACTGAAAGCATGGAAAAAATTGAGTGAGCTTCTTGGAGGAGCTTTACAACAGAAAGCATGATTCCAGTGGACAGGCTCACCTCTGTCGACCCCGGGTACAAAGTGACACATAGACTATGCGGACCGGACGTGGTCATTGGCGAAGTAGCAGCACGGGGCAATCGTTGATACAATTCCTCTGTTATGAAGGGCATGAAAGGATGTAAAAGTCGAAGGCCATAGTTGAGACACAGGTACAACACCTGTCGAACTAGGTCAGCACGCTCGACTGTGGCAGGTTCGGAGGATTTCACAATCGGTTTTGTGTATTCCTGTGGACAAGAAGGAGATCGGGTGACAGAGCTGTGGAAAGAACATGCAATACACCACAGGTGGAGAGATCTGGCATGAACAGTATTCAGACACGTAGGGAAAGTTGTAACGGCTCCCACCAGAAAGTACGTTTGGGTGAGGGGTACAAATCATCCGAGGAATACACACGTGCCA